ACATAGGCAGGGCCTTCCTGACTGCAGGCTTATGCTAGGCCTCTTCGGTCCACAGAGTTTCTCTCTCTAGTTCTCAAGTTTGAGAAACAGGGACTGGGGATTTAGCTCAGCAGCACAGTGCCTGTCTGGCAAGCACAAGGTCGTGAGTTCGATTCCTGGTACCTGGAGAAAAAAAAAAAGAAACAGGTCAATAGAAGCTCCCTCCAGGGTGGATCGGGGCAAGTCACGGTTCTCCTTGGAGAACCTCATTCACCAAAGAGACCCGGGTTTCCTAGGAGATGTGAAGTCACTGCGGGTGAGGGCTGATGCTGGCGCTGGGCTGGTGGCCAGAGAGTGAGCTGTGGCGTTTCCTTGCTGGGCCACAGATCTCCAGCTCTGTGGTGCTAGCTAGAGTGATTCACTGGGAGAGGAAGGAACCCCGGGGTGCTGAGTGTGCAGCCTCTCGCACAGAAGAGACAAGCGGGGTGCTAAGCAGGGCCTTTCTCAGAGAAAGCGCACGGAGTGCAGCGTCCAGCCGTGGCCACCTTCACCCCGCCTCGAGGGGCAGCGTGATGTCCTGGGCTCACAGCCTGTGGACATCAGGAGCCCTGGCTGGATGTATGCGTGTGTGTGAGTGCAGAGGACAGCAGGCCGGACGTGCACCGGCACTGCCGTGGGGATGTATATCCACACTCCCTTGCACACTTAGGCCTTCACCCTGCTCCAGCAGGTCCTCGCTGGAGCTCTGCTGGTGTCACATCATCTTTCACAGGGTGTGTGTGGGGGGAGGTGGTCTGGGGAGCCATCAGCCTCCATGAGGGGTGCTGTTTGGTGGGAGGCAAAGGTGAAGCGTCCCCCTAGGTGAAGTTTCTAGAAATCGGGAGGCCAGGGCCAGGCAACGGTCTTGATGGGAAAGGTACTTGGAACATGTGAGCTCAGGCCAGTGCAGCAGCCTGGCCCTTCCAGGGAGTGGCACCGAGCCCCCGTGACTCTCTGGCAAGGCGTATTCAGAGGGCTTTGCAGAGCGGCCCTGAGGACCTGCACGGTGGCCCCGGCAGCAGTGAGCCGAAGCCCACCGGCCCTTCCTTGGCACTCAGCACTGTGTGGCCCAGGGCAAGTCCCTCCCCCTTCCTGAGCCTCGGTTTCCATGACTTTCCCCTGGAGGCGGTCGCTTCTCCACTGCTCAGTCAGGGTTAGTGCAAACAGTGCGGTGGGTACCAGAGCCTCCAGGCTCTGCTTTTATTATTACGAGGTTGATCTTTTTTTTTTCTTTTTTTCTTTTTGTCTTTTTGAGACAGGGTCCCACTATGCTGTTCAGGCTGACCTTGAGCTCACTTTGTAGCCCAGACTGGCCTCAAACTCGCAACAATCCTCCTGCTTCTGCCTCCCAAGTGCTAGGATTACAGGCGTGGGCCACCACGCCTGGCCCTACGAGGTTGATCTTGTGATGAGACCCATTTTCTTGATAAGGAGACAAGCTCTGTGTGTTTAGACAGAACTGGACCTGCCTTTGAGCACAGGCAGTCCCGCTCCTGAGCTGCTCTTCTAAGCCCCAGTGACTCCTGGTCTGGTCCTGGGCTCCCGGGAGATGCAGCGCACGGCAGCCTCTTGTTGCCGTTCGCACCAAAGCCCGGAACCTGGGCTGGGAGCCGCGCTGTGCATCCGCAGCACCTTGGGAGTGCGGGGCCCTGGCTCCATGCTGAAGAAAGGCCCTCTTTGAGGTGGTATCCAGTGTGGCCTGTGGCTCTGGGTCTTGCATTCCAGGGATTTTTGGCCCCTGATTTGGGCTTGGCAGCCACTGCCTCATTGTTCTGCAGCTTGGCAGGAGCCCCGGGATCCGGGGACAGGCGGCTCCCTGTGTTACCCGGAGGTGCCTGCACACATGTGCCGTGAGTCTTCTCCCCCCGCTCAAGCCTTGCCTCTCCGGGTGCCCTTTGTCATGGTCTTCCCACCTTTGAACCCCTAAGAAGGGGTTTCTGATAGCAACGTCTGGTGGAAGCGACTTGGATTTCTGTGGCAGTCCAAGAGGCAGCAGAGCACTTGGAATGAGAAAAGTGCTTGGTGTCAGCGAGGTCTGGGTCTGAGTCCCCCTGAGGCTTCCTAGCCAAATGGTGTTGAACCTCCCCTTTTTGATCTCAGCTTCCCTCCCTGTAAAATGGGTCCGTGAACAGCCCTGCTGATGAACAGGAAGGATGTGGCCTACCCAAAGGGGCCAGAGAACCTTCATGTCTTTCCTCTTTCCCCTGGAAGTGACCCTCTCCTGGACAAAGCCTTTCCTCCCCACCACCCCCAAGCATAGTACGGCAGGTGCCATGTGGTTCTGCACAGTAGCTTCCGAGAGCTCAGGGGTTGACAGCAAAGGTCTTGTAGTTTGGGGGGCAAGGTCTCTGGAGGCTCCCGCCCATAAGGGCTCCTTGCAGGCCCCTGCCTTGGCATCAGTGTGACCCCTTTTCTGAGCAGAGAGAGGGTTCATTCCATGGGGAGCCAGCTGAATAGAAGGGTGACGATTGATGCAGGGAGTGATGTGTGGTGGCTCCAGACAGAGGTGTAAGTTCACGTCCCGGGGCTGGAGTGCAGCTCAGGTAGAGCACTCACCCACATATTCAAAGCCCAGGATTAACATCCAGCACTGCATAAAAGAAGGTTCAAGGGGCTGGGGACTTAGCTCAGCGGCAAAGCACCTGCCTGGCAAGCGCAAGGTCCTGAGTTCGATTCCTGGTACCAGAAGAAAAACAAAACAAAACAAAGAAGGTTCAAGTCCAGGCCCTGCAACCTGTGATCCCTGGTCCACTGGGGAGACCTTTAACTTCCTGTGCCTCCCTTTCCTCAGCTATAAAACAGGCCAGTGACACCTTGTCTCTTGGGTATGTCAAGACTCTTGGGGGGAAGTGCCTGGAGCACAGCCCGACATGATAAGGGCTCAGAGCTTCTTCACTGTTGTTGTCATGATCATTCCTGTTTCGGGGGTACCTATCAATGGCCGTGGCGAGCTCCTGAGGGTGCAGCTGTCGGAGGGCACCGTCACCGCCGAATGACGCTTGCCAACACCTGCCAGGCTTCTCCTAGGGAGGATCTGCCAAAGTCCCAGCTGGGCAGTGACTGGGCAGAGAGTCAAACCTGGGCCCACTCGGCCCGAAGCCCTTGGGGCTGGGGCTGAGCGAGTGAAGGAGGACAGATGAGGGAAGCGGAATGCAGGGGCGGATGCTGTTCGCTTCCAGCCCGTGGGAAGCCCAGGGCAGGGGGCCCGGGGCGGGTGAGTGATCACATGTGCGGGCCTGGCTAGGGCCCTGTGGCCGATCCTGGAGCCTTCTGAGATAGAGACAGAACCTTCTCCCCGAGACAGCTCTCCATCCTCCCCCCAGAGGCCTCCCTAAGGGCAGAGGACGGTGAACATGTCACCCGGAGGGGTCTGGGGGTACAGCCCGCAGCAGCTGCTGAACCCACAGGAGTCTCCGGTTTCATCTTCAAATTCATGCGCATTTTACATTCTGCTCCCGCTCTGCCTGGGTTTGTTGTCACACACTTTCCCCCCAGAGTCACAGCAGCGCCTCAGGACGGCGCTCCGTGTTTATCTGTTTATCCTGGGGCTTTGTGTACCCCCTGCTCCTTCACGGTGTCACCCTGGGGGTGTGCGCTCTGCTGGGGGCTCAGCCAGATGGCCGGAAGATGCTGAGGGCGCCCGGGCCCATCTGCTTTGGGGGCTTGGCAGGGAGAGCTCGGGCCCGGTGGGAGACAGGCTTGCAGGTGGCAGGGACGGGGTGGGGGGACGTGTGAGGCCCCTGAAGGGCGGGCACGCCCCCTGGTGCCCTCCACGTGATGCCAGTCAGACCGCTCTGCATGCACAGAGGCCAGGCATCTGCCGGTGTGTCTGTGCCCAGCAAAATGAGCCGTGCCAAGCAGCGTGCCTGCAGTGGTCAGCATCGCAGGCAGGAGGCCACCTGGCCGTGCTTGGCAGGGGGTGACCCCTGCACTATGGGCGGCCAGCCAGGGCCCCCTGCATCCCCAGGTTGGGTGCTTCTGCCACCAGTGCGGTCCCCAGGCGGCCTCACCTCCTGCCCTCTGTGTGGTGTGACACAGAACAGTTTTACCCCAAGCAGAGGTGGGGTGTCGAAGAGGCCTTCCCAAGGGCGCAGGAAGAATGATGCTGGATGCAAGTTACAGGGCCCGGGGGAGCCTGAGGGTCACGCTCAGCGGGTGACTCGGGGGCTGGTTGGTGAACATCCGCTGACACGCAGGAGAACTCAGCGTCATCAGGGGCAAACTGCAGTGGAAGAAGTGGTCTCCATCCAGGCGCACAGCAGGCCTGCGACCCACAGGTCGGGTGGTGGGCTGGCTGGCGCGCAGATGGCCAGGCGGTGGCCCGGTCTCTGGGGGACGTGCATCAGCATGCTGTGGCTTGGGGTCCTCCGAAGCTCGTGTGTGATCACCGAGCGGTGGTGTGAGCGGCAGTGGGGCTGAGAAGCTGGAGCCCCTGAGAGGCCCCTCGCCACGGGGACGTCATTGATGGCACGAAGGTGTTTCTAGCGGGCTGAGTTAGCTCTCAAGGGGTTGAGTTACTGTAAAAGCCCAGATCTGACCCCAGATTGCTATCTGGCTTCGTGTCTCGCGCATGGTTTCCCTTTCACATGTGTCATTGTACTGTCCTGCACCGTGGGTCCCCGCAGGAGCGGAGCCCACCCGGCACCAGGCCCTTGCACCTCCAGAACTGTGAACAGAACTCCAGAATAAACCTCTTCTCTCTAGAAAGCCTGCCCAGCGTCGTGGCGCATGCGGGTAATCCCAGTGAAGGAGCAGAATGTGGCTGGGCCAGGCTGCCCGGAGTGGGGGGTCACACTGACCTGTGACGGGGGCCTGGCTCCCATGTGCACCCCTCAGGCACTAGGTGACTGAGAAGCACCCCTCCCTGGGACTTCCGGCTCCCCAGGGGTGCAGCGTGGGAGAGTGTGTCACATGGGGTGTCGAGGCCTTGCCCTGTCGCTTCTGCCCGCGGAGAGAATGACCGGGCCTGTTCTCTGTTGCAGCCCAAGCCCTCGTGAGGCTGGCATGCAGGATGGCAGGACAACCCAGCCACATGCCCCATGGAGGGAGCCCCAACAACCTCTGCCACACCCCGGGGCCTGCGCACCCACCCGACTCACAGGTAAGCCTTCTGTCGTCCACGGTGCGCTGCGGGGCCTCCAAGGAACGAGGCAGTGTTCCCTCCCATGCTGCTGGGCACTGGAGGAAGCCCCTCAGCACCAGACAGGCCCTCTTCTTGAATGCTTCCGGTGACGGGCAGCTCACTACTCAATGTAACGAGCCCTTTATTTAATTCAGCAAACTCAGAGAAACTGCTCTGTGCCAGACTCAACTGGGATCCAGGCCAGCCCACCCCTGGGCAGTGTCCGCATGATGGAGCAGCTTTGTGTAGGGGGGAGCAGGTACCTGGCCCAGTGCGGAGCGCAGGGAATAGGTAGAATGTTCCTTCTTACGCCTCCTGTTTTCTTGTAACTGTCCGCTCCCCGAACCTCATCTAGAACAGTGTCTTCTGGGCACCGAGGTCTCCTTGCACCTCTCTTGACTTCTCCATGGGTCCCTGGAGCTCCAGGAAGCCTTAGGGAGCTTTTGTGGTGCTGGTGTCCGGGTTTCAGAGCCGCTGTGCCCCGCCAGCTCCCGCTGCAAGCCTCAGGCCCATGCTGCTGCTTCTGGAAGACCTCCTGTCCCGACCACCAGCGCCTGGCTCCGGCTCAGCCTCCTCTCTCCTGGATGCAGCCTCATGGGAAAGATTAGAAACCAGCTGAGGAAACCTGGGGGTCCCTGGAGCTCTATCAAGGCACCTGATCCAAACTGGGGCAGACAAAGGCCGACAGGGCAGGTGGGAGCGTCTTGGCTGGGGCCAGATCCTTGGGGTCCAGTGGGCAGCCTGGAATGATGGCGAGTTCTTGTCTAGGGTTGACTTCTTGTTCTAAGGCTATGAAACCTAAGCTAGGAGGAAACGCAGAGTCGACTATATTTCTGAAACAGAAGACTTACCATGGAAGCTTCTGACTTTCTAGTTCCCATTGGAGGACTTCAGGGTTGCTGTGGACAGTTGTACAGGTTACAGGTTATACACTGCACAAAGGTACCTGGGCAAGGAGGCAGGTGGATCTAAATTGTGTTTGTACTCTCACTATGCCATGCTCTGTCGTGCACGGCTGCATCAGCCTAAGGGAAAGGGCAACATAGGAGGCCGAGGATGCTGCGTGTGCTTGCATGTGTGTGCCCGAGCGTGCAGAGAGCCCATCGATGCTCTTCTCACTCTCCTTGCCTGTTCCTGGCTTGGTTGCAGGGCCCATTTCCTAGGGAGAATGTGGGGACGCGTCCTCAGAAGCAGAGGAGTCCACCAGGCCCTGGTGCAGATAGTAGGAGGCGGCGCCTGTCCGGGTAATGCAGCGATTTGTCATCTAAGTCATTCGCTAACAATTGAATCCCCCTTGATTAATCTCCCAGAATCAGCCAGTTGCATTTCAAGCAATTAGGGTTAATTACAGCCTCATTTGGCGGAGGAGAGAGCCCCGTAATTATTGCACCACAAGGCGGGGAGGCGGCGGGCTGCAGTGGCGGCCTTGTCCCTGGCATCTTACGCACATGCTGGAGTGGGTAATGACACAGTTAAGTGTAATTAGATCTGATTCCTCAGCACTGGGCTGCTCTGGGCAGCACTGTCGGGCAGAGATGGTCTCAGTCCCACCAGCGTCGGGCCAGGTGTACACAATCGGGCCCTGGGCCATGTGTGTGCTGTGTCCAATCTGGTTTGGGCCAGGAGGGGACACTCAGGGCTTTTTCTTTCCTCCTTTCCTTAAACCTCATCTGAGGAGACATCCCTACTGAATGTTGGTTCTTCTAGGACAAAAACACCGTGAGTTGCTTTGATGTGGGCCAGGCTGGGCTCCCTTCTCAACTCCATCCCCTCACTGGTCAGGTGATGTGGGGTAAATGACCTCCCTGAACCTCAGTTTTCTCATCTGTAAAATGGGATAATAATCATACCTCCCTTATGAGACAGCTGTGAAACAGAAGCTGTGAAGACTAAGTGGGATAGTTAACCTTGCACGACCAACATGGCACTGAACATTGCACGTGTTGGGGAAACAATATGTCATGAATCTTATTTTGTATTTAAAAAAAATCATTGTAGTGTTCACAGCCAAAGATCTCAGAGCTGGGTAATACCCTCAATACAGCAAGATCATAAACTGCAAATACTCCAACTGTAGTTTTTCTTAACCTTCTCGGCCCAAGGCTGGTTGCTTGTTCACTGCAGAAAGGCTTCTAGCTCAAGAGCATTACCACATGAAAATAGATTTGCTGAACTTGGCAGAGTCATATGTGAAATCCGTGCACCCTTAGCAAAACGGGACGTGCCACTTTTACTGGGGTTTCTAATAACTGTGTGCGTGGAATTGAGAAAGGGGCTGAAAATGTCCAGGCTTCATCATTTGACCGGTTTGCACAGAGCACTCTCATCAGGAATGAATTACAAGGCTTGGCCGCCCCATGGGGAACACATGAATTTCTAAGAAGGGGAAAGGTGTTCTCGCCTGAGAAGCCCTGGCTAATGTATCTTCCATCTGGAGAGTCTTTGGAAACCTGCTCAGGGCTGGCCATGCTCCGTTCTGTTTGGAGAGAGGAGTGGGGGTAGCTGTGTGCACTGCACAGACCAAAATCTGTGAAACTCTTCCCAGAAAAATACTGGTGCTTGCATAAGGTTTAATGACCAAATATTAGTGGCTATTAAATTCAAGAGTGTTTGCTCATGGTTCAAATTCAGTAAGTGTTTGTTTCCTTTCTCCTGGGGGCTTTACCTGGTGCCTGGTACCTGCAGTCAGTGGCTCAGTCCACTGGGGGGCCCCACGTGTAAATGGATAAAAATATGTTGAGGTAGCAGCCCCGTGAGAGGGTGCTGAGGAGCCAAGAGAACGGGGAGGTGCATTGGTTAACTTCCCATGGCTGGGACACAATACCTGATACCTACAACCAAGGGAGGAGAAGTTTAATGTTGGTTTATGGTTTCAGGGGGTTGAGTCCATAGTTGGCAGGCTCCAAGGTAGAAACATTGTGGCAGAAGGGCATGGTAGAGCAGGACACAGGGGGAACATGTCCACAGAGATACACCCTCCAAAGGCACACCCTCCTTAACAGGCCCTTCCTCACAGCACACCCAGCTGGGAACATGAGTGGATGAATCCACGGATGAGCAGAGAGCCCTGTGACCCTGTCCCTCTCCAGGAGTCTCTCAGTCCTGTCACATGGGTGACACAGGTGGTTGGTTCTGCCCAATGGATGATCAGGAGTTTGGATCAGGATAGGGAGAAAAGAATAATCCAAAGAAGGAAAGAAAACAGTTGTATACCCCAGAGCTGAAGGTGCAGGGACAGCCAGGTTCGATAAGGTATTCAAACACCCCAGCTAGGAGAAGGCAGAGGAATGAGGGAGGTGTCTCTGGGAAAGAGCCTCAATCCACACTGTATCATTAGCAATCGAGTCACAGTGAATGGGGAGCTTATTGTGGGTTTCCTTTGACAAAGGGGAGTATTCAGGGGGAGCCCTTACAGTTTAGGTGAGTTTCATTTGTCATTGGCATCTTCTATGCTGAACGGGTAATGGCTCCCTACTTCCAGGGGCTGATGACCCACAGAGAGACTGTGGACTTCCAAGTTGGAATAACAGTGATGCAGGTCGCATTGGCAGCCTGATGCCCTTATTCTGGCCTCCTTCCAACTCAGAGAAGTGGGTCTTATCCTGGACTTCATTTTGCAGGGCAGAACACTGAGATCAGTCACCTACCGTTTTCTACTGAGGGAAAGAGACAGGATCCAGTCCAGGTCCCTATGTCACTCGGTCTTGGAGAGCGAAGATTGGAACCTGTTTGAAATTAGCCAGATTGCGCAGAGCCACGCAGATTTGGCCTCTGAGTGCATCCGACAACTTGGACTCTCTGTAAATCCTGCCCTTCGTTTGTGCAGGGCGGATTTAAAACGCATCTCTGTATATTCACACACCCTGAATCCATTAAGAGTTCCCGATACGCAGTGTCAGATGTCTTTAAAGGTGAAATTCGTTTACAGGAAATGTCATTCCGATGAAATGTGCTTTTTAAAATCATAGAAACGGTTGCCTTAAAATTAATGATGCATTGCAAATATCAGGGAAAAAAGACCCATCCAGTGTAAAGATGATTAAAATTCAGGTCAGAAGTCTGACTTAGTCAGGCTAAATTTTTTAATGAGATTTCAGAAAATTAATTGGGCGAATGCATTTTTATTCTTTTAACATGTAATTTTATGCCCCCCCCCTTTTTTTCCAAAAGGATTTGTCAATGGCAGAGGCTTATTGTGGTTCAAACATTTTAAACTCAAATTAGCAAGGCGGGGGGTGTTTGTGGCCTGATGTGATCTGACTTGGAGACAGGGCTGGCTCTCTCTGAGCTGTCTGGGTCAGGGTGTCCTATGGTGGTCCAGCTCCGCCGCCACCCCAGCCTGGTTGTGGCGCCTTGGCCTGAGAAAGCTGGCAGCGCCTTGAGGGAAGGTGCAAGTGGGGCCGAAGGTGACTCAGGTCCTGGCTGTCCTTGGTGCCTGTTCTCCAGGTTCCGGCTGCTGTCTAGCTCATTGTCCCCAGGACGCCTCTGTGGTCCTCTCTCAGATCTGAGTGTCCTCCCGTAGCTCCGCCTCCTCCTTGGGCCCACGGTGACAAACAGCAGAGCAGGACAGACACTGCTGGGCCACCAACCCTGTCTCTCACTCCCGGCCCCTAGGCTCAGCTCCTCTGTCCTCAGGGAGAACTGAGGGGTGCAGCACCAGGGTAGGAGCACCAGGAGTCAGAAGTAGCCGCGTGGTGCAGTCCCTGGGAGCAACTGGTAGCACAGCCCGGAGAGGGAGGCCCAGGCAGCTGCTGTTCATCCTGAGGGAAGCTGTGTTGCAAGTCACCTGCAAGTCTCTGAAGTCCCTGCCAGCCCCAGCTCAGCAGAGCCACTGTGGGTCTTTGCAGTCCTGGGTATTGAACCCAGGGCTTTCACACTGAGCTACACCTCCAGCCCCTATTTTGTTTTTTGAGACAAGGTCTCACTAAGTCACTAAATCGCCCAGCCTGGGCTGAGACTTGCTGTCCTCCTGCCTCAGCCTCCCGGAGCTCTGGGATCACAGGCGTATGCACCACAGCCATCCTGGTGATAGGATTATCTTGCCCCCTGGGCCAGGCCAGTCCTATCTCAGCTCAGCCCCAGCCCCTCAGAAGTAGCAGCTGTCACTGGCTTTGTTCTGTAGCATAGCAGCATGAACGGAAACAGTAGCAGTAACAACTCACATATCACCTTCCCTCTGTGCCAGGCCCAGGGTGATTATTAGCTTATTGACTCCCGGGGGAGAGAGAAGGACTTGCCTATAGCCCGGAAGTAGCAGACCCAGATCTGAACCCACACCTTCCGCCCAGATGCCAGGGTCTCAACTGGCAGAGCCACGGTGGTGTTGCCCCTCTTGCCAGCTGTGCCCTGATGGTGCGTTTGTCAGCCCAGGAGCCAGTGTGAGGCCTCAACAGAGCAGGGGACAGTAAGCAAGCGGTGGCCGATTTCTGAAAGGCCATCGCAATGGTCATGAGTTAACAGTGAGTCTTTGGGAGTCACTGTGTCACCATGGTGTGAGCTTTTCTAGATCAGCCCCAGTCACCCAGCGGTTTCGTGCCCCAAGACGCATCACCTGCATCACCTCCTGGAGTCCTCAGGGAAATCCTGCAGCCGCTCTTCCTGTCCCCTGAATGAGTGCCTGACCTGGGTTACCTGGCTGTAGGGGCAAGGGTGGGGCTTGCAGGGGAACGCAGCAGGGAGGCCTGCCCTTGAGGGTCGGAAGGCAGTGTAGCCTTCCTTCCCCTTCAGGTAGCCCAAGGCTCAGGCACCCTGTACCAAGCAGAGGCCCGTGGGGACCGGGACCCATCTCAAGCCTCTGCAGGCGGCCGAGGCCTGTGCAGCCTCTGGACTGTGCCCGAGGACAGGAGGACACATTGTAGCTCCCGAGCTGCTGCAAGATCAGCTCCCTGCCTCTAATTAAGTGGAATGGGCTGTGACAGGAAATGCAAATCCCGGCCATCCATATGCAGATGCTCGGCTGCTGCTCAGCCCCGACCAAGTGTGTCCCAGAAGCACCCAGAGCTGCAGAACCGGCAGCTGGGCAGAGTGATCGCTGAGGACTCCAGGTGGCCTCCCTCTCCTCACAGGGAGAAGCCTGGTGTCCAAGGGTGAGGACCCTTGGAGTCACTTCCTCCAAACCCTTTACTGCAGTGGGGGGAAACTAGGGCCCGGGAGAGAAGGGACCTCATCCGTTGTCACGAGGAGCACAGCCTGCTCTAGAATCAGAGTGTTCAAGTCTTCCTACTGCACTGGGCAGCTCTGTGATGTGCCTGGCTTTCCTCATTTACAAACCTGGATTAAGGGCCTGTGTTCCATGCTTTAGGAGATGGAACTCACTTGACATCTCAGGCACAACATCTTGCATTTTTTTATGAGTGTGACTCCTGCTGAGAAGCCACTTTGGCTTTTCCTGAAGGGGTGGCTTCAGGCGCAGCCCCAGCGGTGACAAGGCCTGGGCCCAGAGTCTCACTGAATGCCAGGCTGTTGGAGCACATCCCGCTGTGTCATTCAACAAACACACCTGGAGCACTGAATGGCGGCCCAGGGGACACTCAGGGGACACAGAAAGGGGCCGCTCTGCAGAAGCCCATGGTCAGGCATGGGAGGGGCTCGGAGCACAGAGGAGCAGAAGGTAGCTGGCTGGGGGGAGCTGGAGGAGAGGTGCAGGAGGACCTCAGTTTGGGGGCCACCTTGTGCAAGGGCTTAGGCGCCGAGCTCCCAGTCTCCTGCTAAGGACCTGAAGCAGGGTGCTGCGTCTCCTCCTCAGCTTCCTGAAGTGGGCACTGCAATGAGGCCACTCCCAGGGCTGCTCAGAGGCACCTTCTAGGTGGAGCAGGGCTGGCTCAGTCACGCATGCTCCCCTGGGCAAGTTCTGCGTATGGAGGGGAACTGTGTGGCACAGAAGAGCTCATGTAGCCGGGAGTGGTCGTGCACACCTATAATCCCAGCACTTGAGAGGCTGAGGCAGAAGGATCGCCCCTCCCAGGACTCATTGGTTCAGATGTCTGTGTTACAGTTGGAAGGGGTTGCTCCTGCACTCACCCCAGTACCTGTCTTCCATCCTTTTGGATGGTTCCAGCCCAGATTTGAAAGCTACATATTCACTTTTAAAAATGTAGCCACTTGGCTGGGTGTAGTGGTGGGTGCTTGTACTCCCAGCACTCTGGGAGGCTGAGGCAGGAGGATTACAAATTCAAGCCCAGCCTGGGGAACTTAGTGATTTAGTGAGATCTTGTCTCAAAATTTTAAAAAAAAAAATTTTTTTTAAAGAGGGGAATAGGGGGCTGGGGATTTAGCTCAGCAGCACAGCGCCTGCCCAGCAAGCACAAAGTTGTAAGTTTGATCCCCGATACCAGAAAAAAAAAACAACAAAAAAGAGGGGAGTGGGGGCTGGGGATGTTAGCTTAGTGTGAAGACCCTGGATTCAATACAATGCCATAAAAAAAAGAAAGAAAAGAAAGGAGGGAGGGAAGGAGCTTAGTGTGGCTACTTGTTGTACCTGGTAGGGTTCTTAGTGTTTCTACCCTGTCCGACTCGATGCTGCTAACACATATTTCTGCGCACTGCAAGGGACCGGTACAACCGAGACCTCCTCTGTGTCCTTACGTCACCATCTGGCTGGGGACAGCGTCCCCACTGTCAGTGATTCCCTGCCTCACCATGGGGTTGTGGCAGGAGGGTGGGCAGGGTCTGCCCAGAACCACCAGGCAAGACTGCATGGAGCAGGGGTGGCCCCTCCGGGCCTCAGGTTGCCTCATTGGCCAAGCACAGACGTCCCGGGGCCCAGCTAGCCAGTGGCCGCGTGTGGGGCAGACAGAGGCACAAAGATTACCGTCTCCTCTTCTCCCACCCTGGCCTTTCCCCAGAGCTTTGCTTAAGGCCCATGGAGGACCTGCTGGCCCTGCAGTCACCGGGAAGTCTCTGGTTTCTTCCTGTCACTGCATGGGGGCATCTTATCTAAAGAACAAGCTCAGGGTGAGAGGCTGCAGATCTGAGCCTCAGTTTCCCTGCTGAGATGGGGACCAGCGGCCCCAGGAAGGGAACTCGGGCTTGGGGCCGTGGGGCTGCACCTTGCATCTCTGACATCATTCCACACGCTGCTGGCCCCGCCCGACTTGGTGTGAGCCCCGCAGCCAGTCGCTCAGATGATCCAGAGGGTGCTGATGGGCCAGGCCCAATGGGAGCTAAGCAGCTTCCCTGCTTCTCCTGGTGTAGCCTGGTGCCCACCGTATGGCAGGATGGTCGGGGGCAGGGGGCAGGTGGGAAAAGCTCCAGGGAGGTCCCGATACCAGGTGGCAGGCAGAGTCATTCCTGCCCCTGAAAGGATGCAGTTGAGGGGCGCTGGGTCCTCAAGGTCCGCAGCTGCCCAGGCCCAGGCCCTGGATCCAGTCCTCTGGTCACTGGTGTGCCTTCGTTCCCCACAGAGGCACCCGAACACCCTGTCTTTCCGCTGCTCGCTGGCTGACTTCCAGATTGAGAAGAAGATAGGCCGAGGGCAGTTCAGCGAGGTCTATAAGGCCACCTGCCTGCTGGATCGGAAGACCGTGGCTCTGAAGAAGGTGCAGGTGAGCCCACAGCCCCACAGGTCTCAGCTGCCTCAAAGGAGCTGGGCTCTGCCGTGGCCAGCGTCTTCCCTCTCTGACCTCCATGAACTGGGAAGTTAGAAGCAGCTCCCTAGCTGTGGAGAGAACCAGCGGACACAGGTTTAGGGAAGCTCCTTGTGAGCCAGAAAAAAAAAGCCACATGGTCCTGGGCTCTGGGGTTTCCACCTTCCACGTCCTTGCTAAGTGGGAGTCAGCCTGGGAACACCATCGAGTACCCTCACAGCTTCCTGGGCCCCTGGATCTGCTCCTTTGTCTCACCGAGCGCAGTGAACAGGCTGGGGAGCGGCAGCTCAGAGGATCGGTCGCGGGAGGGGCCATCCAAGGCCCATTCTCTGCGCTGGCTGTCCCAGGGGCTTCCTGGGCTCTGTCTTGCTTCTTTGGGGCCATGATGGGGCTGCAAGGTCCCTCTTTGGTCTACACCTGCAAGTTGGGTGCTGGGAGGATCCGGAGCTGGGTGCTGCACCCAGCCTCACAGGGCCCACACTATGGCACCGTGAGGTCAGGCTGATGACCTCAGTGTGTCGCTGGATCTTCTGGGCCTCAGTCCCCTCCTCTGTGAGTTGGGTATGGTCACTCCGGCATCATGGAGTGGTCACGGGGTTCTGAGTGACGCTGTTAAGGCAGCATCAGGCTCACAGTGGGTGCTCGGGAAGTGGGAACTCTTGTTCTCGCCGCAAAGAGGGGCAGAGCAAGGACCCATAGGGGGCTGCTTCTAATCACTGTGTCTCTTCCTTCTGCCCAAGATCTTTGAGATGATGGACGCCAAGGCCCGGCAGGACTGTGTCAAGGAGATCGGCCTTCTGAAGGTGAGCATCGCAGGCGGTTAAGGTTAGGTTAGAGTTAGGGCTAAGGTTAGGGTAGTTGCCAAACTTAGGAATGGCGTCTGTCAGGGTGGTTGCTGAGCACCACTGAGCGCTGGACACAGGTGCCGCCTGTGGGGAGGACAGGCTGGAGGCCACTGGTAGGGCACCCGGTGTTACCGTCCAGGCAACCTTCTGGAAACAAAACCACCAGGCCAGTTCAGCAGATGGAAGAAAGACTTTGTGCTCAGGGTGCTGGGAAACCCCGACATCCCCAGTGGAGCTAGGTAAGCCTCAACCCCTGCCTCAGGCTACCCACGAAACTTCATTTGAAATAGATCACGGGGTAAACAAGCAAGCTAAAGCTATGGTATAAAGACCGGAGCAGAAAATTGGGGCCCACACGTGGCCTGGTCATGCCCATCTGTATTCCCAGAGGCCAGCCCGGGCTATGTAGTGAATTCAAGGCCAGCCTGGACTACACAGCCGACCCTACCAAAAAACTAAAAAAGAAGGAAAAGGAGGGAAATCTTCAAAATCTAAGGATACTCATGGGTGTCGTAGGCAGGCCACAAAGAACATTACTTAACCATAAAAGGGAAAAGTGATCAGTTAGACTTCATCAACAGGAGTAATTTACATTTATCACAACCACCATCCAAACATGAAAAGGCAAGATGGGAAGAAACAGCAGTGACGCCTTGTCTGTACGCAGAACGTGCTCCTCAGATCACACTGAAAACATAAAAATCCAGTGACAAGGACCTGGGGTTGGCCGCTTCGGGGTTTAGAGCTCCCTGGTGCTCTGAGGAGGCCTGTGTGCCCACGCCTCAGCTCTCATAGTCACTCACTGGCCATCCTGGCCTCTGTGCTGCTGCTGTGCTATCCTGGGCCCCTCCTACCATAGGGCCTTGGCACAAGCTGTCCTTGTTGTAGTTTCTTTTCTCTCATTGCTGGGACAAAAATCCCTGATGCCCAACATTAAGGGAGGAAAGGTTTATTTACCTCACAGTTTGTGGTGACTTCAGTCCATACTTAGCTGGCTCCAAGGCAGCGTGGCACATGGCAGAGGGCAACAGTTCTTAGAGGCAGAAGACAGCAAAAGCAACAAGAGCAAAATGGGGAGGAGCAGAGAGAGCAAGCCTCTCTCCCTGCCTTACATTGTACGCAGGCTGCCCACCCCAGGGTAGGTATAGCACTCACGCCCATAATCTCAGCGTTGGACCGCTAGTCAAACAAAAACTCTAGAGCCCACCCCACGACTACATGAGGCTCTTGGGGGGACATCTAGACACAAACCATGACGGCCCCCAACCCCACCAGCTTGATACCCGCTGTCTGCGCAGCTCCTGGGCACCTCCTGCCCTGTTCTGCTTGCTCCTGGCTCCCAGCAGTATTCATGAAGAGGTTCACAGTGCCTGCTTGAACCCTGCTTGGGCTGCGTGGGGACAGGGACCATGGGTGGCCCCATCCTCTCTCAGTGATGACTTCTCCCTCACTCAAGGGAGCAGGCACAGGCAGGAGCACACAGTACCCCAGGAGGGGACGGAGGCACAGGTCCTGCCCTGGGGTGGCTGATGTAAGTCCAAAGTGGACTCAAAATCCCAGTGTGCCGGCCACAGTGACACATGGCAGGGCGGGCAGATGCGGGGACGGTAGGAGAAGAGGTGGAGGGACAGGTGCAGGCTGTGAACGTGGAGCAGGGACACCTGGACCGCAGGACGCCTCCTCCGCAGGGCCTTGGCTAGAGCTGGACCCGCAGACTTGGATAGGCAGTGGGCGCTGCGACCCAGCAGGGTCAGCCTGGAGGAGCTGGCATGAGTTGGAGCCAACAGCTAGGCAGCCTCTGGCCCCTGGGGTCTGGCTGAGGGCAGTGCCCATCTCGGCCTTGCTCAGGAAAGAAAGAAATGAATGGCTTTGAGATGTCCCCAGGGTGCTACTTATTCTAGAATCTGGCGAGGGACGCAGGTGGTATGCAGCTAGACGCACAGCCGCGTCTGTGCATGGTGTGGGACAGGGCTGAGCACACGGTGGCAGGGTTCTTTGGGTCCCGCTTAGCTCTGGCTGGTGCCGTCACGCACTGCCAAGGGCCTGGCTCCTCTGCTTGTCACGCTGCCCTTCGAAACGTCGTGCCTACTTCTCAGGCAAGGAAACCGAGACTCACAGATAGCAAGCGGCTTTCCCAACCGCACCAGGTCTCCTGACCTCCAAGCGCAGGCCTTGTCCCGCACCGACCTCCCCCGTCGCCTGCCTCGGGTTCACCTGCCACTAATCCACCTCCCCCGGTCCGTCGCCGCTGGCCCAGCTCGCCGTCTCTCTCTCCCGCACAGCAACTGAACCACCCCAACATCATCAAGTATCTGGACTCGTTCATCGAAGACAATGAGCTGAACATCGTGCTGGAGCTGGCCGACGCGGGCGACCTCTCGCAGATGATCAAGGTGGGGTGTCCGGGCAGGGGCAAGCGGGGCGGCGTGGGAGCCCCACTGTCTGGGCCCAGCCCTGGCCTGGTGCTGCTCTTCCCAGCGCTGTCCTGGCCTCATTGCTGGGGTCCCATTGCCTCCCCATCAGCCTGGCAGGGGCGCCCCTTAGAGAGCCCACGCCAGGCTTCTCCCCGCATGCAGCCTGTCCAGAGGGCAGACCCCAGCCCACAGGACCCAGAGAGGTGTCTCAGGCTGCGTTACTTATAGAAGGAAACACCAAGCCCTGGGAGGGTAAGAGACCTGCCTGAGACTGTCCCCAGCGTGGGGACAGAGCCGTACCTACACCCAGGTCTGTTTTCCTGGCCTGGAACTATTCAGTGGACATCACCCTCACAGTAATCCCTCAGCCATAGCAGAGGTCTGCATTCCACTCAGAGGCCACTGCCTGGGTTCCTCACTCCCAAGTCGGCCCTGCTGTGACGCCAGGGCCCAGGAGCAGCTCCTGTGAGCCGGCAGCAGGCCCACGGCCTGCCTCCCCGACCCAGATCTGTCTCCAGGGGCGGCCAGGCCCCTCGCCAGCCCCGCCTGCTCCAGCCCCGCCTGGAAACGGGCAGACATGGGTTCTCTGTCTTCCCAGCAGGCACTGGGGACTGAACGATCGTTCGTACGGCACTTGCTCTTCCAAAATCTGGCCCCTAGGAATACAGCGTCTCCGGGAAGTGGCATTGCCTGAGCTGTTATCACCTGTTTTTATATTTCTGTTGACACATTAATGCATTTGCAGGGATGTTAATCTCTGCAGAGCTCCCGCTGGGAGCAGATGTGCTATATCATGTCCCCCTCCCCACCAGTTTCTGTCACTGCACACACACGCGAGTGCCAGCCCCATGCCCAGACCTGGAGGGCGCTGTCCTCGAGGAACCCAGATTCCCACAGGAAGGCAGACCCATGAATAAGCCCAAGTCCAGGACCTGGGGAAGCCACAGAGGACTTCCTGGAGGAGGTGGCCCCGAGCAGTGACTGGGATTCGCAGGTGCCCGAGGCTGAGGCGGGGCAGGGTTCTGTACCTCAGTGTCTGCTTTGGTACCACACCAGCACCGTGCGTGGTGTGCAGAGTTCAGCTGGCTGTGGTTCCCAAGGGAACAGAGGCCTTGCCGGGGCCCTGCGTGGTGTCCCGCTGGCCTTGGAGTTGCTGCAGCCCCAGGGCCCCAGGCGCACCCCACAGCCCAGGTGCCGCGTTATTTATGAGAGACGGTGGTGACACCCGGAGCCGAGCCGCCGCTCCCGCCTGGAACACACCAGAGACTCTGTGGCTTCCCGCTAAATGTCAGGCCGCGCTGAGAGGATGTGACATTTAGAAAATCACTGCTCGGCTGTGCATGTCCCCGCACAGACCCGGTAATGAGACCGAGTAACATCCCGGCGCAGGCACCACCCCCGCCCAGCCCACCTCGGCCCGGCGGCTCGGCCAGGGTGCAGGGCGGCCCACCCCTGAGCTCCCGCCCAGAAGGGGCCTCTCGGGGGCCTGGGGCTTTCTTTCAAGGCCAGGTTTTACCTCCCAAAGCAGCGGCTGGACTGCAGCTGGGGTCTCCCGCTGCTTAGCCTCTCTGAGCTCAGTCCGTGGTAGCCACTGCCACTCGCATCAGCCGTGGGGGCGGAAGAGCTGGGGCTTCCCGGGCAGAGAGCTGGGCCTGGGCTGTGACTTGACACCTCGCTGCGCAGCCCTCAGCGTCTCCGCTGACCTGGGCCCCCGTCCTGCCCGATTGGGCCCGGCGTGCTGGCTGCACCTGCCACGTCAGCACGGTCCCTGTGTCCCTCTCCCCGGCTCGGCTGGGGCTCACCTGGGCCTGCAAAGCGTTCTCTGTTCAGGCCCCCGTGGGAACGGCCTGGGCAGCGCCCCGCGGCCCCGGCCTGGAAGCCGCTGGCTCAGCCCGCCCGTCCTCTGTCCCGCAGTACTTCAAGAAGCAGCAGCGGCTCATTCCCGAGAGGACTGTGTGGAAGTACTTCGTGCAGCTGTGCAGCGCCGTGGAGCACATGCACTCCCGCCGCATCATGCACAGAGGTGTGCACCTGCGCTGGGGGCGAGGGACCCCCGTCCCCAGGAGGGGGGTCACCCGGGGTTTCTCCAGTCCCCAGCTCCAGCCCGGGTATCCCAGGTGTGGCCAGTTTCAGTGCAGTTGCCAGCTCTGCAAAGTTCCTGGAGAAGGGAACTTTCATGTGGGCTTTGACATCTGAGTAGGAGTTGGCTAAGCAGAGGCGGTGAGACACTTACAAAAGACTGTTTCCCAAAAGTTGATGTCACCCTAAATTGAGCTCACCTCACTGATCTGTCTTTTGGTCCCTGCACCTGTCCAGCTGTGTGTGAGATGCTGCTCTAGTCACTGGGGTACAGCATGGGTCGCCTCACTGGTGGCTTTGTTGCTGGTTACACAATTTTCCACTGAGAGCCTGTTGTGTGCTGGATACTATTCTAGGTACAGGGACACAGCTGTAAAAACAGGAAACGAGAACACAAAATCCCTGCCCTCTCAGACCTCAGAGCAGCCCTGTGAGATAAGTTACACGAAGTCCATTTTATAGGTGAACAGTGGTGCAGGACAGAGCCTGGGAAGAGCCTTGGGAGAGGGAACCTTCCTGTGGGCTGTGACGTCTCAGTAGGAACTGGCCGTCCTGTCCCCTGAAAGGCCCTCCCAGGTATCTCCCCACACCAACCCCTCTCCTTCCCCCGCAGACATCAAGCCTGCCAACGTCTTCATCACAGCCACGGGCATCGTGAAGCTTGGTGACCTCGGCCTGGGCCGCTTCTTCAGCTCGGAGACCACGGCGGCGCACTCCCTTGGTAAGGGGGCTGGTCTGTGCCCACAGCCCTGAGCACCGTGCCGTGAGGTGCCCACAGCCGCTTAGTGCAGGGAAATCCTTCCCTGCCCCCTTTTTTGTTCGTTTTTTCAAGAAAAGGGTCTCTCCGTGAAGTCAGGCTGGCCTCAAACTCACAGGGATTCTCCTGCCTCAGCCTCTTGAGTGCTGGGATTACAGGTGTGTGCCATCACACCCGGCTGGAAATGCCTTTTTGAGCCCAGCGTGTACTCATCTTTTCCGAACAGACTCAAGGCGAGGAAGCAGGTGGAAGGGGCTGGTGGCTCTGCCCTCCTGTCGCCTCCCGCCCCAGCCCCAGGGAGGCCAGCAGGATGTGTCTGCGGTCTTCTTGTGCTGTTGGCCAGTCTCCTGGCTCTGCACCGTGCGCTCAGGCTCCGCCCCGCAGGGAGACGTTGAGCTAGGTCCTGAGCCAGCTGAGAAGACCTTGTAGCTGGACTGCGGGTGGGGGTGGGCAGGAGCTGGTGGGACAGGTGGTGGGGACAGAGTCTGGGTGAGGGAACAGGTGAGCAGCAGCTGGGGGTGGCAAGAGAGGTGGGCAGGGCCCTGGGCGCGGAGCTTGGGGCCCGGAGCAGTCCTGGGAGGCCTGCGGGGCCAGGCGCAGGGAGAGGCTGGGCCGGGCGCTGCTGCGTTCAGGTGCCTGATGCAAAACAGCGCGAGGCTTGGGGTGGTGATTAGGGTATAGGAGCCAGCCCCAGTGGGACTGGAAGTGGATGCACAAGAGCCTACCTCCTTAGAGCCAGTTCCTAGCAGCCGCCCCTGTGCTGCCCGGCCCTGCGCAGACGCATCCCCGGGTGACAGGAGGGAGCCCCGTGGCTTAGACCAGCAAGTCCCTGTCCCCTGACACTTGGGTGCCTGTGGCAGGCTGTGCGTGCCAGCAGCATCTTCCCTGTGGAAGCCATCACTGTTCATTCAGGTCCCGACCCCTTAGACTCAGCGTAGGGCACAGCTTCGGAGAGCTGTCCCAGCTGCTCCTGGCCGTGGAGGAGGATAATGTCCCCATGCAAGCTGGGGACACCCAGCCAGGCTGCCTTCCCAGGGCAAGAGTGTGCAAGGACCATCTGCTCTGGGACCTCGGGCTGCTCCGTTCTTCGGTAGCCTTCAGGGACCACGGGATCCTGAGGAATCTGAAATCCAGGGAGCCTGAGTGATTTTTGTGAGGCCACAGGGGTCCGAGGCCGTGCTTCTTCCAGAGGCCAGGCTCCATGTGGAGTTCATGTGGGAGCTCTGGCCGTTGACTGCCACTGAAAGGAAACCTTGTCTCTCCCGGCCCCCTGTAGACATTTCTCTTGTGAAAAGAAAGTGCTTTGGTTGGTTTGGGACTGCTTACCTAGCTGCGTTTTTTGGGGTTTTGTTTTTGTTTTTTTTTTTTTTGCAATGCTGGGGGTCAACCCAGGACCTTGCACAAGTGACCTACAGCCCCGCCTTCCTGCCAGCTCTCAAGCTTCAAGAAGGCCGGAGCATGTGAGGGACGCTGTCAGAGAGGAGCACGGCTGCCTCCTGGGCGCCGTCACTCAGGCTGAGCCCCTCTGTCGCACTGCGGAGAAGACGGGCGCTCGTCAGAGCCGGTTAGGATCGCATCGTTAGGGACAGGCGGAGATACGGGCTCCTCCGACAGTGCGATTTTATCTACTTGGACTGGTGCACTTATTATATTAATGAGAAGGAATTGGAACTTGGGAAAAGGCCGCCCCCGGAAGCCAAGCTTTTCCCGAGGCCTCTGCACAGCCGTCTGGGCCACATGATCGGTGCAAAGAGCCCTCAGAGGGACTGTCCCAGCTTTGGGCCGTGTGTCTGGGGTCCAAGAGACACGGCTGAGCTAGGGCCTGCACGGGGTGTTTGCCAGCCCCGGTGCAGTGGACACGCTATGGGAACCAAGGTCCTGTGTCTGCACCCACCCGGGCTCCATGCCGATAATGGTGCACCGCCGTCGCCAGGAAACCGGACGTCTCCATCCACCATGAGGTTCTACCAACAGCTAACCAAGTGCTGCACACACATCGGGTTGGGCTAGAGAGTGAGCTGATTGCTATTGCGAGGTGACTCAGGAGAGACGGAGGGCAGGGCCCTTCACACCCTGTGTGTGGGTGTGAGCTATGCATCCACCGTGTGTGGTGCACTCCTACTACGTGCAGATGCCCTGGTGCCAGCTGGTTGCCCTGGCAACCACCTTATCTCCTAAGGCCGCTGACCCAGGAGCTAGGCTTATGCAAATCCCATCCCCTCCACCTCCCCCGCCCTGGCCTCCTCCCACCCCTGTATTTGCTAACACAAGGCTGGCATGAAAGGGCATTAGTCAGTGCCATGGTCGGGCTGACAGGTGCGGTACCCAGCAGTGGCAGAGCGGCTGCCTCGGTGTCAGGAATAGGAGCCGTAATTAGAGTGCGGAACAGAATGAGCGTCAGACGAATTACCAGGCAGCAGATCATATTTGTCAGGAAGGATTGCATACATAAAAATTAAGTGACAGTACACGCCGGCGTAATGAAAGAAAAATGAAAGATTTGCCTATACACAGCTCACAAGCTACAAGCAAGTGTCTCGCTCCGAGCAACAGCAGCAGCTGCGAGACAAATCGTGGGGCTGGCGAGCAGGAGGGCAGGCCCTGCCACTCGCTCTGCAGGAGTGACGGGGCGGCCACCCCGCGGGGACAGGGGTGGGAAGGGACCCAGGGCCGGGCAGGGTGCCGCCTGGACTCTCCGGGGCCAGGGAAGCCGGGGCGGCTGGGGGGCAGCCTGTCAGGTACCAGCTGTCAGCCTCCTTCTCCTGCCCTGAGCTGACTTTCTGGCCCAGGGCTGGGCACAGGGGACACGCGGTCTGCAGCCTCCTGTGTTCAGCGGCCCCCAGGTTGGCAGGGTGACAGCCACGGTGCTAGGTGCCTGGTGCAGGGACAGGCGGAACCACTCCCACAGGCCCACTGCACACAGGCAGGTGCTGGCCACTCGGTGGCCACACTGCACTGTGACCGGTCTGCCTCGAGCTGTGACGAGTCCTCACAGCCAGACACCACCAGGGACTCACGTCACTAAGGCAGAGGCTCCTGCGATGCATGCCTGGGCCTCCGGCCGCCCTAGTTCCATCCCAGCAGCACAGGACGCCCGGGCCCAAACCTGCCTGTCCCTTCGCCCAGAGCACCTGTGTCCGCAGGCACATCTCAAGGCCGAGGCTCAGCCCTGGTTCCGAGTGACACCAGCTGGGAGGTCATGGGAGGTCACACGTGGCTGGCTGCTCCGCCACCTCGCTGGCATTTTTCAGGGGCATAAACTGCTAGAAAGACAGGAGCTGTGAGCAGAGTGGCGTGAGGAGGGTCTCAGGAGGCAGCGCGTGAGGAGTGGAGCTGGGCCTGCGCTGCAAAGTAGAGCTCATTCATTTGTTTTTTTTTCGTTTTTCTCCGGTACCGGGAACCGAACTCACGACCTTGCGCTTGCCAGGCAGGCGCTTTTGCCGCTGAGCTAAATCCCCAGCCCCCTCATTTGTTGATTCATTCACTCCTTCATTCAGCAGAGGCTTGTGCCAGGCCTAGGGCTGCTTGCAGGGAAGGCTGACCTGGCCCCTGCCTTTGGGGACCTCCTGCCTTGGAGGTGACCAGTGTACCCCTTACCCGGGACCAAAAACAGCTCTTATCACCACTGCACATGTCCCAGAGAGAGAACAAGCTGCCGAGGGGAGGGCACTGTGGGGAAACTGAGGCTGAGGCGGGGTGTCCAGGCCGCACTGGGAACAGCTGACGCGGGCCACACCCAGTGGGTCCGGCTCTGAGTCTTGCCACTGGCACGTGTGGAGGGACCGGTGCGCAGCAGGGACCCCCAGCGGGGACCCCCGCCTGGCGCACGGGTGCCGCAGCTCCTTTCTGCAGCCCATTTCAAAAGCACCGTTCAGGGACGGGGGCAGCCTGCACGCAGCAGCCTCTCCTTCATGTGAAATCCGCCTTTTTCATATCTAATGAACACGTTTCCAGCGCCGTGAGCATTTCAAAACAGCAAAGTTTGTTTTGACAGGAGCAGCACATCCGGGAAGGGAAGCGGGCGCTTTAATCAGCTTCCCCCTCTGAGGCCCCGAGTCCTCCTCTGATATCTGCTGGGTTTGAAATCGCATGTGTTCTGGGTACAGACTTGAGAAGGTCAGGGCATGCGAGGCTCCTCTCTCCTACGTGCAGCCCTGTCCCCCGCTACGAGGAGGGACCAAGGCCCGGGGGGCGCGGGCTGTCTGTGTCTGCGTGGCACCGAGAGGCGGTCAGCGCCGGGCGAGTCACGCTGCCCATGCAGGTGCCCAGGCTGCGCCTCTGTCTGTGGAGATGCTGCCACCTGCCAGCTTCTCCCGTCTTCCCCAGACTCCCTTCTCCTCTGGGGACTGGGGATGCGTCCTCAGTGGCCCGCTGCAAGCTCGGAGTTTCTTTGAAGTGTCTTGTTTCATGTTGAAAACTGACGCAAGGGGCACATTGTACTCCATCACACCTGAGCATTTGTTGATGGTAAAAAGCCCAGGTGTACGTGACTCAGGCCCAGGCACAGCTGGCATATCAGGGAGAGCTTCACACACCCCTGGCACAAGTGGTGGGCATCCCCAGCGAGGCAGAGCACCCCACTTTAAAATGCACCAACCCAGGGGACACAGCAGGGGGAGAATGTGCCCAGGGCCAGGGACCGGAGGACCCAGGGCCAGGGCCGGGTGTGGCGTGAGCCAAACCTCCCCGAGTTGATATTTTGCACGCGCACTGCGGCTGGTTCAGAGGTGTCCGAGGGACTGTGGTGGGTGAGTGTGCCAGTTGGTCTCAGTGGTCAGCTCGAGAGCTGTCTGGGAGATCAGAAAAGCACGTTCCCGGGGGTATCTGGCGGGGTCGTGGGAACGTGACCTGGGCGGCGGATCTGGTCCCTGCCTCTTCCCCTCTGGCCCTTCCAGTTCTCTCTGCTTCTGGCCACCAGGGACCGAGCGAGCGTTCTGGGCACGGACTCAGGAAGCTCAGGGTGTGCCAGGCTTCCAAGATGGCCCTGCCCGGGAGCCAGCAGACCACGGGCCGAAACCTCAGAGGCCCCGAGCCAGAGTCAAATGTCTCCCTCCATTGTTCGTGTCAGGAATTTCGTGTCAGGAATTTCGTCCCAGCGATGTAAAGCTGACTGATAGAGTGAGTGGGGCGCAGCGGCTCCTCTCAGTTAGAAGATAGGTCAGGAGTTCCCGGGAGCCCATGACAGGGGTAGGGGTCCCAGTTCCACCTGGGGATTCTGATGCCAGGCCTGGCTGGGGCCCCAGAGCTTTAATGAGCCCTGCCAGGTGACTGTGGCCACAGACCCACCCAGCCCTTTGCTGACACGTGTTCATCTGCTCCTGCTGGACATTTCCTGGGAAGGCAGCTCTGACCTCGGCAAGGGTCCCCGGCTCAGTATCAAGGTCTGGTTAACAATGGATGGAGGTGGAGGATGAGCAGGGGATGGATGGACCGACAGACGGATGGATGAATGGATGGGTGGGTGGATGGACTGATGGATCAATGGATCGATGGATAGCTGGAGGGATGGACAGACTAACAGATGGGTGCATGAGTGAAGGATGGATGCATTCACTAGTGGACAGATGGATGAATAGAAGGGCAGACAGGCAGACAGGTGGATGAATGATGACTGGCCGGGACTTTATAGTACTGCATTGGAGAAGGAAGTCCCAGAGTGCACTGGGTGTCTGCCTTGCCCCTCACACCAGTGGAGGGGGCAGCAAAGAGGTGGACGGCAGGTGGGGAGACGAGAGGACAGCAGCACTCCTAACCGTTGTCTCCATATTCCCCCTGGCTTTCGAAAGCTGGGCTGGGCAGGGACCTGGACACACTATGGCCTCAGAGCCTGGCAGAGGGACAAAGCAGTGACAGAGGAACAGACCAAATATCTGGGCCTACAGGGGTCCTCATTTGTTTTGTTTTTTTCCAGTACCAGGAATCGAACTCACGACCTTGCGCTTGCCAGGCAGGCGATGTACTGCTGAGCTAAATCCCCAGCCCCTACAGGGGTCCTCATGGAGCTCACCAGGGGCCAAAGGGAGCAGTATGTGCCAGGTTTGGAGGCACAGAAAAAACAGGCTGACCAGGGCTGGGTGGCGGCTGTGGGAGGACTTGGGGTGGAGTTGGCACTCAGAGCCCCTGCCCTGCAATGGGCCTGGCTTCTCTGCAGGTCCTGTCACCCTGCTATTCCTCCTGTCCAGGTCTAAAATGAGCAGAGCCAGACGTGGTGTAATCCCAGCATTTGGGAGGCCGAGGCAGGCGGATCCCTGTGAGTTTGAGGCCAGCCTAGGCTACACAGTGAGACCTTGTCTTAATTAATTTTAATTTAAAAAATGAGCAGAAAACAAGTCCAAGAATGGGAGGAGCCATCAGCATCAACCAGCGAGGGCCTGGCTGGGGTCTTAAGGGTGTAGGCAGCCAGACACTGGGCATGGCTGTGCCTCAGAGGACAGGATTTCCGGCCCCGTCTCCCTCCCTGTCGTCCCCCCAACCCCGGCACATCCTCCGTGACCCGGATGCTGGAGTCCACTGACTTCTGCCCCGAGGATCCCAGTGCTCACCAAGAGCTGTTTGGATCTCACCCTGCGCTGTGGCTGTGACCCTCACCCGCTCCACAGGGGCCATTCATTCACTGCCGCTCTCTCCAGACCGGGATGTACAAGGTGCTGCTCAGGAAGCCTGCTTTGCTCCCCAGTCTCTGTCGACCCAGAACTTCATCTGCTGACGCACCATTAAGCCCTGATTCCAGGCAAAAACTGCACGCAGGACGCCAGTCTCTCACAGTCTGTCTTCACGTGATGGCTGTTGCGCTCTTCTGTGCTTGATGTTCTGCTAAAGCCCGGAGTTCCTACGGAGTATCACTCTCAGGCAGCCCTCAGTTAAATATTTAGAGGACTGTCTGGGACTTCAAGATTGCAGGTTTTCTACTTTTTCCAGTCTTCAAGTGCCTTTCCGGTTTTTTTATTATTTATTTACTGGTGCCGGGAATCGAACCCAGGGCCTCATGCTTGCCAGGCAGGCACTGTGCCACTGTGCTACATCCCCAGCCCTGCATTTCTGTTTTAAACAAACATCACTAAATGGCAGCTGGAGTTTTCGTATTTTTAAAACGCCCTTCCTTGGCAAAATGAAGTTACCCAGCCTGTGTTTGCCCAGGAAATCTCCGCAGCCTGGGCCTGCTGCTTTCTGAATGTGACCCACTGAGCAGACCCTTCTCCCAGGGCCCTGGGCCTTTCTGAGCCGGACGCCGCCTTCCCAGGTCACAAGCCCCTCCCAGACTGCGCTCAGTCACCTGGCTCCCTAGACAGGGTCTGACCACTGCTTGACACGGACTCTCCCATGTCAAGGAACCCAGTGTTGTTCCTTGTGCAGCAGCCTTAGAACCCTGGAACTCACCCTTCCAGAAGGGTCATTCTCCACATGGGCTTATATCAGAATCTCAGGGTCCAAATCAGGTTCCTGGGCCCCAGCCCAGACCCGCCGCCTCAGCCCCTCTGCCGAACCTTGCACTCCTCTAGTGATGGAGCGCAGAGCCATTACAAACCTTTTCCTTCCTCACAGTTTAGTTGAGGTATGGCTGTATACAGTGAGGCTCCCTCAAGCCTGTACTGGTCACCACCCCTTGGAGTGGTTTTTCCAGTTCATAAACTTAATGGGGGGAAAATGGAAGCAAGTAGTGTGCACTTCTTTGTGTGCCTGGCTCCTTTTGCTCTGTGTTATGATCTGTCTGGTTGCATGTCCACGAGGGTCGCTCTTTTTCATTGTTGTGTAGTATTCCATTGTGTGAATAGACCATCCAGTATCAGTTCACCCGTTCTGTCATCTGACATTATTTGCAGTTTGGGGCTATTGCAAATAAAGCCCCTCTGCAGTTCTTGGTCTTGTCTGAGGGACAGAGGGCTCCTTTTGGGCACCCACTTAGGAGTGGGATGGCTCTGCGACAGTATCAGTAGGGCTCACTTTAGAAGATGCCACCCAACTGATTTCCAAGGTGCCAGATAGGCAGGACATTCGGGTGCTGTGCTTGCCACCCTCTTTGCTTGCTTTGCTTTCTCTTTGCACCTCAACCCTTCCGCCGGGTGTACGGTCGCGGCCTGTGCTGCACCTCCCTGACAGAGGGGAGAAAGGTGGCACTGTTCCTGGACTTCTGGCCCCTTGGCCCCTCTCCTGGTGATGGGTGTTCACAAGCGTCTTTTCTTACTGGTTTACAGAAGTTTGAGGGTGTACCCAGGGGCTGGTCTGGAGCTCAGTGGTAGAGCATTGGTCCAGCACATGCGAGGCCCCGGTTCAGTCCCCAGTTTTGAAGAAATCAATAAGTAGAGCACAATATGCTGCCTGCCAGCCCTGTCGGGCGCTCGTACTGAGACGGTTTTCTCTCTTGCCTTCTGACTCTGGAGGAACTGAAGTTCCTTGTCTTAACAAAATCTGCCTTTTTATGGTCGGTGCCTTCCCTGTCCTGCTTAGAAAAATCTCAGGCAACTGAGGCTGGACCCGAGCTGGCTGTGGTAGCCAAGCGCTCCCTTTCTTGGGTCAAACGTAATTCCTGCTGCTTTTACATGAGCATCTTCACCTGAGCCTCAGTATCCGCCTCTGTAAAGTGAGGGTGCCGCCTCCCAGGGCTGGCGAGGACGTGGGGGAGGTGGCGTGAAAGGTGGCCAGCGTCAGCTGTGGGTGCTGTCTGCTCCCTGCTGAGAGCCTGATCTCGCCCCTTGCAGATGCGGCCCCTTAGGGGAGTCTGGTGACTTATTCCCACTCCCACGCCCACTGCACCCGGACACTCAGCTCCGTGTGAGATCTCGGAGTCCACTCCAAGGTCCAGGGCTCCGTAGCCTAGACGCCTCCAGTCTGCCCAGCCGTCTCACCTGGCAGAAGACAGAACCGGCCCCAGAGACTGAGGCCGGTCTCTATCCTCCCCGTGCCCCTGTGCTCCTGGCCCTGTCTGGGCTCAGGTCTGAGCCCCACCCCTTGCTGTGTTTCAGTTGGGACACCGTACTACATGTCACCGGAGAGGATCCACGAGAACGGCTACAACTTCAAGTCCGACATCTGGTCCCTGGGCTGTCTGCTCTACGAGGTGAGCCTTGGGCCCATGGCTCGGCGGCCGGTGCGGGGCTCACTTGTCAGCTGGGCGGGGATCGGGGCATCGCGTGTCCGCTGGGGGCATCAGGACCATCCGGGACCCGCCCTCCCCACTCCACCCTGGCGGCCTGGTCCGGGACGTCAGACTGGAGGTGGAACAGGCTTCGGCGGGCCCACGCGTGGCTGCCTGGATCTGCGAAGGGGACACACGGCAAGCAGACGGAGCGTGGGCAGGGGACGATACGCGCCTGCCCCAGGCCCCCTTCCTGATCTCCTTGGCAGCCACATCCACCCGCTGATGATTTTGCTCACTCTTCATTATTTGCCGTGAGTCAGGCCACATCCAGGGTGCTGGGGACAGGAGGGACTTAGGGCAGGCTCGCGCCTCTGAGTTGCTTCCCTTCGGAAGGCATCCACAGCTCTCAGGAGGCCTGCGCCCCTGCCCCGAACTGTGAATGGGGACTCAGAGCAGGCAGACAGCCGGACTGAGGGACAGCACCATGTCCGAGTCTCGGTGGGCTCAGACACGAGATGGCAAAAGTACACAGAACCACACCCATTTTGGCCACACTGGGACCCCGTAGCTGGGGAAGTGGGGAGCACGAGCTGTCCTTGGCCATATAAATCTGTTGCAGTCACCGACAAGGGGAGACCCGGGACCTCTGGGGTCTCTGTGTTGCTGAGCACACCCTCCTATCACCCACCCAGTGCTGGTAGCTGCAGGAGTGCACCATCCTGCCACACTCCAGTGTCCCTATCTGTAAAATGGGAGCAGTAGTTCCTGCCCCACATTGTCAGAGCCTTGCTAATGACATGACAGAGAGGAGAGGGCTTCGATTTATACAGCTAGAACCTTGATTATCTTTTTGCTTTGCCCGGAGACCATGAGGGTCTGGTGTGGTGCTGGTCAACTGAAAGGACCACCCCATGCAGTTGACGTGGCTGGGGCCAGTCTGTGACACATAGGACAGTGTCCAGGGCTTTGTAAGTGCTGGCATCCAGGAAGACTGCACCCTTTGCTTCCTGGGGATGGGCGGCTCTGACTGCACCCCTAGCCCATGCATCAGCCAAGACGTGGCACCCCCGTGCAAGGCCAGGTGACGTGGCAGCTCTTGTGCCCAGGGTCTCTGGACAACAGGACCTTCCCTCCCCGCATGCCAGGTGGACGCCATGACCTTGTGTGCGACTCACGGCTGTGTCTTCTGGGAGAGAGGTGCGGTGGCCCAGACTATGCTCATAAGGACCTGAGCTCGGATCCTAGCACCAGACCAGGGCAGGTCGTGCTGCCCACACGGCACGGCGTCCCAGCCTGCCTGCAGTGAGGGCAGGCCGCCCTCACCTTGTCCACGAGGACACTGACCCAGTGCAAGCTGCGTGGTTGCTGCTTGCTGCCCACGCCTGGCGGGGAGGCTCCAGCAGTTTGCCGTGCCTCCCTTTTTGCTTTGGCCAGTGAAAAGCCACCGTGCAGCTCAGCTCCCAGCCCCAGGACTCCTCTCTGTCCTCCTATCCTCGTGTGGCTCGTCACTAGTCCACATGGTTTTTCCTTTCCTTTTCCCACTGTTTTATTTTCTGGAAGCTGCCTCTTGCCCTCTCCGAGCCATGAGGGTCCCTCAGCATGAACACAGGCCAGGCAGGCTGGCCGGAGCACGGTGTGTCTAGGCTGTCAGGCAGCTGGCTCCCTCTGCCCAAGAAACAGCTTCATCGCTACTCGAGCTGCTGCTGGGCACCTGCCGTGTGTCCGCCAAGGCACTGGGCCCCCTCGGCGGCTCCCGCTCCTCTTGCACCGGCCGCTGCTCTGCAGGGCTGATGGATTTGTTGGCAGTGTGTGGGCAGCCGGGGGGACATCAGCAACGAGAAGTCAGTGGACTCCATGGGCCACGACCTCCGGAGTTGGGTGTCTGCCCTCACGGACACAGGCACTCATCTAAACCTGATGGCCTTGGCTCCTGCTAGTGGTGGCCGGGCCCTGGAAAGCAACAGGGCAGCACCCCCGCCCCCCACGGCCCACGCTGGGGGAGAAGCGGGTGTTTCCTAGCAGACAGGGCACGGTGCATCTGGGCCCGGGGCTGCGTAATTAGAAGGAGACATCCCGCAGTCATGTCTGCAGCCTCCGCTGCCGGCAGCCTGCGGTGTCCTTCAGGGGCGCTGCCTGCGGAGCTGTGACAAAGGCCCCGCCACTCCAGATGGCTGCTGAGAATTCAGGGAGCACGGGTGGAGCATGGCCCGGGGTGTGAGGGGCACACGGTCCTCCAACAGGAACTCCCCAACTTCGATCTGTGAAGGCCCCTGTGTCAGTGTGCTGTGCTTGCTGCAGCAGATGATGGCAGCATTGCTGGCGTCACATGGCATTTGCCCGAGGTTCTGGAGGCCAGGAGTCCACCACCAATCTTACAGGGCCACTGTCAGGGCTTTGGGGACCACTGTTCTGTGTCCTTTCTGTGGAAAACAGGCGGGCTGCCCGCACCCCAAAGCCCCTCCTCTTATCCTTGCAGCCTTTTGCTTCCCAGCACCTCTTCAGCCCACTCTGCCTCGTATCAGGGCACTGCAGTAGCGTGGCACCCTCCTGGGAGTCCAGGAGAACGTGCCCATCTGGGAGCCTGGATTTCATCCCGTCCGCACAATCCCCATGTTGAGCCATGGCTGGCGAGGAGCCACCACACCCCTGGCCCATGTCCTCCGTGCAGCACCGAGAGGTCGGGCTCAGGAGAACCGTGCCAGCCAGCGACACTGCCCTGGACACCAGAGTGCACCATGGGAATCCCCTCAGAGTGAGGCCTGGTGCTTTATTTTCAGACACCCAGCAAGCCACCTGGCCTCAGCAGGACTTATTTATTTACACAGGAGCTCAGCTCTGAGGTTGGAGCTGAGAGAATTGGCGTGCCCAGTGCCAGGACCCTCAGCGGGGAGCTCTCACAGGAGTGGGGGTGGTGGTGTCTAGAACAGAGACCCAGGAAGGATGGGGCTGCGGGACCCCAGCTATGCCCGGTATGTGACACCGCTCTGGTGCTCCAGCCCGAGCAGCTGAATGACCAGTGCCCCTCCCCCGGGAGCAGAGCCGAAGACTGAGGGCCACCTCCCCTCCAGGAAATGCTGGGGAGGTGCTGGGTGACAAGATGTCGTCTGTCTGGGGTCCCGACAGGCCAGAGCTAGATGCAGTTCCTGTTCCTGCTGAGGTCTGATTCCTCCTTCTGTCTCCGACATCTCCGATCATGCGCTGGTTTCCCCCCGCCCTGTCAGTAACTCCGGGAGGGAATGTCTTCCGAGGCGCAGTGCTGAGAGCCATGGCTCTGGCAGCTCTAACGAGGAACCAGCGTCAGCCCCAAACAGCAGCCCCTCGTCTGCGCCGACCAGCCAGCGGCTGGGTGGCCACCGGTGCCGGGGATCTTGCTATCCCGGGTAATCGTCCTAATCCCAGGATCGCTGGCAGCCCGAGGTTCCTTCACGGCCCGCTGCCCTGATGTGGGTGGAAGGCTGCGGCTGGCAGCTGGAGGGGGCATCAGAGTCCCAGGCAGCTAAGTTTGTGAAGATCAGATCAGATTGGCCTGCTGAAGGGTAACGGGTCCCTTGCACAAAACACTGGTGCTCACATTGGCAGGGCCAACAGTGAATGCCCTGTCTACCCTGAACAGAAGCGGTCTCCAGGAAAATCCATCTGGAGCCTCCAGCCACGACTCGGGGCACCCAGGGCATCCCTGTGACTGCCCTGGAGCCTCAGCTGCTCTCTGCTGTGGCAACAGATGTCCTTTTGAAACTGCCCGATTAACCCTTGGCACCCGAGGCTCCCATTTGAATTTTTGGAGATGCATTGCCTTGGTCAGGCCATTTCCAGGCTGGGTGGCGAAGCTGGTTCCAGGTCAGGTCCCCTCCCCTGCCACGTGCCCTTCCTGCAAAGGGGTGGGGAGGGGTTGTAGTGGGAGGGGCACAGGGGGGCGCTGCCCACACACACCTGAAGGCACGTGGCCAGGTCCAGCACTGGGCCCGCAAGTGCCACCCCAGGGCAGGCTCCTGGACCTGGCTGAAGGAAACCCAAAATGCTGCCTCCTTGAGGCCACCTGCAAACCCAAGGACACCGCCAGTGGGCACCAGTATGAAGAGGATGGAGTGACCCAGAAAACTGAAGCCAGAGGGCACCCACAAATCCAGCTGCTGCTGGCCCCAAGGCAGGACTCTGGCCCTCCGTCCCAGCCTGAGGTGGAGTAGGGGTACCTTGGGTACCCTGGTGCCAGGGTCCCCTGGACAGTCACTGCAGTGTGGACCGGAGGAGCGCCTGGCCTGTCTGGAGTCCTCCCGGGTCTTGAGGCTAGAACCGACACGTTGTCTCCTCCCCTGCAGATGGCTGCCCTCCAGAGCCCGTTCTACGGAGATAAAATGAATCTCTTCTCCCTCTGCCAGAAGATTGAGCAGTGCGACTACCCGCCGCTCCCAGGGGAACACTACTCCGAGAAGGTGAGTCAGGAGGCCACAGCCCAACTGTGGTGACCCCAGGCGGCCATGGGGTCCCCGGAGGCCGAGCCTGGGCTCACCCTGCGGGGTGAGGGAGCTCTGCTGGAGGCCAGGCCTGAGCAGATGAGTTGTACTGGAGTCTCACAGACGTGGTTCGGCCCCAAAGGCAGCGGCCAGCAGGTGGAGCCACTGGCACCCTCAGTTCAGCTCCCACCTCCCACCTGTTAAGCTCAATGTCACGGGTGTGAGTGTGAGGCCCTCCTGGGCCCACCTGCAGGAGGAGGGCCACTGCCTGTAATCTTACCCAGGTCAACCCCCACCTTCTCAATAAGGAAACCAAGACCCAGCAGCAAAGGAACTTGCCTAAGGCGACAGTGAACGCTGATGACCCTGCCTCTAGCCCGAAAGCCATCCTGTCTCTCGGTGGCATGTCCCCGGCAGCAGCCAGGTGTCCAGGGGGTGAGGCCTGGAAGGAGCTGCCCCGTGCACCAGGCGCAGGGGAGGCTCCCCGTGGTTTCCAGGCTGGCTGCCCCTCACTGCAGGCTGCACGGTGCCCCCTGGCTTTGCTGCGCCCCAGTGGGCAGTCCGGGGCCGCGGGAGTTGTGCAGCACCCTCCTTTCCTGACTGCCTCCGCCGCTGGCCGAGTGCTCACGGGTGCCTCTGCAGTGTTTGTGCTCTGGAGTGCAAGCTGGCAGGAAAGGCAAAATGAGTTTCATTTCTTTCAAGTTCCTAGCTGCGTTTGCTTTCTCCTTTCTTGTCTTTCTGGACCTCGAACTATTCAGAAGCAGGAAGCTTAGAGCCACACAATCGGGCACAAATCCTAACTAATCTGTGCCTCGGCACCAGTCTGCAAAGGGTGCCGTGCCCTCTGCCTCTGTCCCGAGACTGCCCCGAAGGCCCCTAGGACTCTTGACCCTTCCCTCCAGAGCCACCGTGTCCTCAGATACCCGGGCCCCTGGGTGCCCAGCATCCAGCAGCGGTGTGCAGGACCTCTAGGCCCTGAGACTAGCTGGGGCCTCCTCAGTATGGCCCTTGACCTCTTAAAAATGAAGACAAGTTACTTTTGTTTCTTAATTTCCAAAAATTTTGAACACATACTTACTATCAACTGTATGGTCAGTCTTCACCTTAACCTGGCTTTCATGGACACTAACTTGGCAGAGGCTGACCAGAGCTGCCCTCCCAAGCTGTGTGTAGGAGGGGACCTCACCAGAGGCATCCGCACAGGCTGCAAGCTTCCCTGTCTGTCTGGGGCGTCCCAGCCGTGAGAAAGCAGTGGAACCAAGCAGACCATACTGAAGTCAGAGGCGCTGTCCTGGAGCTCAAAGGCCAGCTAGGAGCCTAGTGCAGAGGTCCCCCTTGTCTGCGAATGCCTGGACCCCAGCCCCTGGGCCCCCAGGACGTCCCTCTATCCCTGCTGCAGACTCCCAGGAGTGACCACTAAGGCCACTTGTCCCCCTCCAGTCCAAGACCTCTCCTATCCCCACAGACGGCAGGGGCCCCCAGCCCCCACAGCAGCAGGTATTTAAATGGAAAACACTGCAGCGAGCCCAGCCATGCAAGTTAAGACATAGGCTTCTTAAGGTCATTATTTTAATTACCATTGAAATAATTGGCACCCGGGCTATCAGAAGGGGAGGCGATCAGAGGCTCAAGCTGCCCCTCCCCCAGCCCGGGCAGGCGAAGCCTTCAGTGTCTGTGTAATTAAAAGCGCCGTCTTTCATGAGCACAATGAAGAGGCCAGGGGGTGGGCAGACTGCAGCCCTGCTGCATGTTAATGCATTTATTATGATCAATAAGCCCTTCCTTGAGTCAGGTCCTTGGGTTTGGGCCTCCGCGTGACTGACGGCAGCCGCACGTGCGCCAGGGTGCACGCACGCACACATTACACACATACAGAAACAGATCAGCCCAAGGTGCACACAGTTGAGTTCAAAATTATTCAGAGATAACTACTCTTAGGCTCTCAAAGCGTGGCCTGGCGGCCAGAGAGGCCTGGGAGTGGCCCTGGCTACACTGCGGGAGCTTTGTGGCCATGCACCCATCACCCAGCTTTGTGGCCATGCACCCACCTGTAATGGGGACAACAATAGCACCTTCTGGGTGCTGCAAGGGTTCCATGCGCTGATGCAGACACGCTCACCACAGCCGCTTTCTTAGTAACAGCAACTGCTTTCTCCTCGCAGCTCCGAGAACTGGTCAGTATGTGCATCTACCCTGACCCGGACCAGAGACCAGACATCGTGTACGTGCACCAGGTGGCCAAGCAGATGCACGTCTGGATGTCCAGCACCTGAGTGGGCACAGCCTCATCAAAAGCCAACACCACTTTGCCTTACTTGAGTCTTCTGAAGCAGCCTCCTGCAGCCTGAACAGCTGAGATAAGAGGGTTCGGCAGATCCCCCAAAGGCGGCCGGCCTTTGCAGCAGATGCTGAACACAGAGCAGCCAGGCGACGGTCAAATCCCAGAGTCCTTTCTCTGTACTGTCTGGACCATCTCAGCTGGCTTGTCACTAAGGGGCATACAGCGAGCGGCCAAAGCCTCCGACATCTGGACTGCAACGTGAATCTTTGGGGAATTCCGAGACCTGTCCAAGTTGACACTGGCAGGAGACTTGCAGGGGATGTTGTGACTTGTGTGAGCCTCTGACAATGGTTAGCAGCAAGTTCAGTTTAGTTCTTAGTATCTTCCCAGACAATCAAGCTGTGTGCTCAATTTACTCTGTTGTAAAGGGATAAAGTGGAAATGATTTTTTAAACTAGAGTAGAGATTTCACTAATATTTTTAATTTGCATTTTATAACTTGATGAGTGATGACAAGAATCCAGCATCTAGCAGAGCTCTGCAAGGCAAATGGCACCTGAAAGCCAGGTTTGGGTGGTCTGGTTAGTCATCTCCTAAACCCTTGCCATGTGCCAGGCACCCACCCTGTCACCTCCTGGAGTGCTGGTGGCTCGTTTCATGACCAGTGTTAAGCATTTCCCTCTGTGGAAAGGAAGCATGGGCTACAAGCTTTGTCCTTGGGCTCTTCTTGGCAAATTCTGGCTCTGCAACTTCCGAGTGTGACCTTGGTCACATTTCTTAGCCTTTCTGAGCCTTAATTTCCTCATCTCTGAAATAGGACTAATACTATCTACCTTTAGGTAGACAGAATTCAAAATAAAAGATGCAAGTCAGTCGGCACGACACAGATGACCCCAAAGCAGTAGCCACTCATCCTTCAGAAAACTAAGCCCATGGGCCCTGTATGTCAAGAATTAAAAGTGCAACTGTATTATGTGTAGGAAACCAGAAACATGTTCATTTATTGCTTGTTCCCAAATAGGATTAACTGTGAAGATAATTTATAAATGTGAATTTAAGGAAATTCAAGCTCTAGAAGTAGTTTGAATTGTGTTTTTATACGCAAGTTAACCTTCCCTGGTGTCTCGGTCAGGTGTGTCCTGACCTCACCTGGCTGACAGGGCCCTGGACCACTGCTGTCTCTAAGCTGAGCTCTGCTCTGCACAACACTGAGATGCTGTCAGGCTCAGAGCCTTCTCCAGATGCCTCTCCTCTGTATGCACCCTCGTGTTTGAAATAAAGTGGGGAGAGGGGCACCTTCCGTGATTTGGGGGGTTTAAAACCGCTTCCAACAGTTTCCTCTTGAACTGGGAGATCCTAAACCTAACACGTCAGCAGCACAACTTCTTGAGGTTTGGAAAACAGCTTGTCAGGCCTCAGACACCGTGAGTAATCTCGGAATTTTCTTAAGCTCCCCGAATGATTCTGACAGCCGTCAGCCAAGTGGCAGCCTCGGTAATTGCACTGATCTCCCAGGTCCACTCCCAGCTATTCCCAGGGGGAGCTGCCTCAGGTGGGCATAGCCTGGAGTTTTCTCGTGGGGGAGAACTGGCGCCCCTGTCCCCTGCCCAGCAACAGCCTCTCAACGTCTTCCCAATTCCAGACAGACTTTCCTTGCAAATAATTCTGCTTCTGGCTCTCAAAGCCTCTTGGCACAGCAGCCTCAGACACGGAAGAACTTGCCTGCCACGCGCTACCCGCTTTCCCCACCCCGAGAGCAATCTGCCCCGTGGAACATGGCCCTCCGGAGAAGCCTCCGAGGTTCCCAGCCTGAGGGCGTGTGACACAGCCACGTCCTAATGGTAGGACATTCCTTTGATGTCCTGAAGCTAGCACAGAAGAGCTCGCCCAGCTTTGGGCAGCTCTGGGAAAGCCAACCGTCTTGTCAACCACCTCCTGGCGCTGCAAACTGGGAGGGCCTGAGACCCAAACTCAGGAGGTTTTTTCATTATTCTTTTTGGGGATGGCACGCAGGGCCTCGCTCTACCCCTGAGCCACCCAGCCTGACTTGGCTGCCTGGCTGCTGGGGCAGAGGCTGCGCTGCATCTATCACTCTGGGGACACCGATGCCCCGGGCAGGGTCTGTGCACCCCAGGAGAGGAAGGCGGGGGTGTTTACCTGAGAAACCAAAGTGACCACACAGGTTCAGGCCCAAGATGGTCTCTCCTATTTTCAGGGAGGCTACAGTGCTGACACCCCAACCAGAACGGTTCTCCCAGAGTGATTAGGAGCCTGAAAGGGAGGCCAGATCAATGGGCCTCAGTGGCCCAAACACCACAGTCCTCAAACCGCAACTCCGCACTGTGGTTTTCATTTTTATTGAGCTCTGTTCTGCAAACAGCCAAATGAGTATCTTCTATGGAGCTCCACTGCCCCCAGTCTTCCAGGGCAGCACCCGGCACTCAGCACCCAGCACCCACTGACACTTCAGGAAGTGTCCATCGTTTGGACAGTCTCCTCCAGCACCTCAATCTCCAAAGTAGTGACTTTTTCAGACAGGACTGCAGTGGTCCCCTTCTCACATCTGTAGCGACCAAACCTAATTAAGAAAAACAGAGACACAGAGTTAGGATTGCCCTCCAGGTTCCAGACAGAGGGCCAGAGAATGCAGAGTTCTGGCCAGGGAGGGACTGAGGCCCAGACTCCACTGTACCCTGGAGCAGTCAAGTCCCCAGGGCACCCTTCCCACAGCCTCCAAGGGCTAAGAAACAGGGACACCTGGCAGAGATACAATCTTGGCACACAGAATAGGAGTCCAGGGAGCACCTGCCCCCATGTGTGCTCTAGGCCCTCCAGCCCCCCACTCCACAATGCTGGGAAACACTGGGCCTCAAGGCTACAGGTTTGTACCCAAGAGCCCCTTAGCAGCCTGCAAGGTAAAGCCTCTCCTTTCCACTGCAATCATCCTGCTCTCCTCACAACAAGGCTGGCTCAGCCATCATGTTCTGCATCTAAGCTACCCGGAAGCACCAACTATAGAAAGTATCTACAGCCACATTCCCAGCTTGTCACTTTAGCCTACACTCTCATGACTCAGGTTAACTGTCCCCTGCAGGGACACGATGGATCACCACCAGGACACAATTTCTTTTTGGGTGCATGCAGAAGGGAATCATCAGACATACGAGCTGTTAACTCACACTGGGGCCAGGAGATCTGACACGGTCAAACAGAAGCATACGCCCAACTCTGCTCTGGGCTGTCCCCAGCTGGCACAGACTAATGGAAGGCTGCTGGCTTTGCCATGACCACGTGCTCTTGGAAAAGTCATCCTCTTAAATGGTTTCTTAGGCTCCAAGAGGGAGCAGGAAGCCAAAAACGTGGGCATGGACAGAGTTGCATGTCACACTCGGAGCTGGGGCAGAGGGACAGGCCTGGCTTTAGTCCTACAAACATTCCCACCCCCTCACCATGCAAGGGCCCGAGCAGCTGCACTTTCCACAATGCCCCCTCGCCACCCCAGGGTCTGAGAAGTCTCTTAGCCCACCATGCTGGGGCCTTGGCAGGACCGTGCAGTCACAGAGCCATGTGCCTGGCTCATCTGAGCTGCACCCCAATGTCTGTGGGAGGAGAGACCACAAGAGGCCACCACTGGGGCGAGGGCCTGTTCGGGGCAGGCTTCTACCACTTGCAGCAATGGATGGCACAGCACAGAGCAGCGATACGGCCCACAGGACAAGGGCCACGGTGGCACTGGCACCAGCACAGGCCTCTGACTCTGCCCCAACCTGCTGCCCACTCTGCAAAGGGTCTGCCTCGCCCAAGTGGTGCCTCCATCATCAGTCACTGGTCGAGAATGACAACAGGATTCCAGAGTATGGACACCGGACACTGAGGGAAGAGCCCGTCTGGGTCACTGCCCAGCCCTCCTGTAACATCTGGCCACTTTATTTCTGTCCGAAAATATGGTTTCCTTTATAGGTGAGGAATACAGGCTGTGACTATACTCCCTTCTCAACCACGCACACCACTCTGCAGTGGTTCACACAGGGCCTTCAGAACCCTTCCCCAGACACTGTTCTGTCTGGATGGAGCGGCACCCTCCCCTCTCCCACCACTCACTGGTTCCTATCTTCAGGCAGCTGGGCTAAACCTGCTCTTCCAGAAAGCTCTGTCCCCGACAGGTTGCTTCCCTTCCTGCTCAAGGCCCAACCAACGCTGTGGGCTGGTTACAGACCACCTAGTCTAGCTCTGTCACTTTAAGTGCGGGAAGACTGATGACCACAGCAACCGAGCCAGTCAGCAGCCTCCTCAGTGCCTGCCCAGAGCTCTGCGCAGCTGGGATGCCCTGGCCCGCCGAGATGCGTGGGGCATCCACACTGACACCCTGTGCTTGCCTTCTGGGGAGTCCTGGAGCTTCCGATCCGCAGTGTGGGATAAGAACAAGCACTCAATGACAATAAGCTGCCCCCTGGCAGAGATCACAGACACTGCTTGCTCACTCCAGTGACTGTGGCTGGAAGCACATCCTGGGCTGTGCAGGCTCCAGGAAGAAGTCAGGAGTGCAGGCTGGCCCAGCAGCTGGACACCGATGAGAAACTGCTGAGGACCTGTGCACACAAACGTCACTAAGTCTGTTCTGAAAATCAACTAGAACCTCAAACCAGCAACTTGAACCTGGCCTGTGCTGCTACAAGCCACTGGCATGGTGCACGCCGCAGCATGGTGGCGTGACTCCCTCTAGTGCTGTGAACATGGTCCGCTCACGTCCACACCAAGATGCTCCCAGCACTACCTTAGAACCTTTTCGATGTCTTAGACCAGGGTGAGGGAGAGCAGAGCTCCGTTCTGTGGCATGGATTCTTTCAGAAGCCCTGCTCCCCAGCTCACTGCCCAAGGGCACGCACTAGGGCCCCCATCTCTCCTACCAACATGCGTTTTCCACACCCTGCAGTGGCCTGGTGTCACAGCGCAAATACTGGCCTGAAGGTCTGCGTGTAAGGCTGGTTTGAGACACTGACTCGCCTCCACAGGGAAAGAGACTCAGGGCATCCAGGCACACGGAAGGTCAGCCCTTCACTTACCTGGTCCCCTTCTTGTTGGGCACTGAGAAGGGGCGAAGAAAGTCCAGCTTGTTCTTGCTGATGACACACAGGTCAATGTTGCTCCCAGACCCCAAGTCATTGAAGATGCCAGCTGAAATGGCCTCACTCACCAGCTTCTTGGCCTCCTCCTCCTGAGAAAGAGAGGGGCAGGTGTAATACAGGGTGCCTGCAGCAAGCTGCAGGCCTGCTGTGAAGCTCCAAAGCACTCTCACAACGGAGTACAGATCTTGAGGCTGCGTAGTGTTTCCAACGCCCATTGTACAGATGAAGAAAAGATCTCAAAGAGCCGAAATGCCCTCCCTACAGCTGCGGCACTGCTCAGCAGGAGACCAGGCCTTTCAAACCCTTAATGCACACACGCCACCTTTACCACGGCTTCACATCACACAGCCACCACAAAACAAGTGAGCTACGGGCTGAGGACGTTTATCATCTAAAACGGATTGGGACTTTCTTCTTGTAAAGAGTCAGGTCGTAAATAGTTCAGCTTTTGTGGGCCTATCACTCTCACAACTGCTCATCTCTGCCATAGTAGTATCAAACAGCCACAAAAACACCACATCAGCAAATAGGTATGAGTGTTGCCCAATAAAACTTTATTAACAAAAATAGGGGTCGAGCTGGATTTGCCCCAGGGGCTTAGTTTGTTAAACCCTGATCAAAAATATTCAGCAGTGGCTGAAACTTACTTCCTGGTAACACAATGGAAAACGTCGGTATCCTGGGACTGCAAGGCAGTGAGACCTCGCCCCGCTCCTTAGCCCAAAGTTCACTGAAAAGACTGCTCCGAATCCCTCTCTCCTTTGCTCTGCCCAGAAACAGTAGGCCTAAGTCCCCAGAGGTTTTTCAGAAGCACTGGTCCCTTTCTCCGTTAGGAAGACCTGGCTAGGAGCGAGGGTTGCAGAGACGGATGAAGCGCCAGAGCCCCTATCATACAGAGACTTGAGAGTCCTGCGGGGCACCAGGCCCAAGTAACCACAGCACCGTGTGGTAAGAACTAAGGCCAACTAAGCAGGAGCTGAGGGAACAGCAGCTGGAGCAACACTGGGCACTCAGGAAAACAGCATCCAACAGCAAGCAGCTGGGCACAGGCTGGGGCACACTAAGTTCAAGCCCGTCAGGCAGTAAAGACAGAAGCAAACCAACCTCCCCAAAGAAGGGAAAACAGCCCATGCAGCAGCTCTTCCCAATCTTCCCAGGACAGAGTCTACACACACTCTGGCTGGAAGGAGTTCATCCAACACTTCAAAAAAGATTCCCTGCCCAAAGCTGGGCCTGAGATGCTCCCAGGACAGATTCACCGCCTCTGAGTTGCGAGAAGACCTGAGTCCACTCCAGCCTCCTGCTCCCCTGTCTGCCCTAGCCGGCCTGGGATGGCAGTGACATGAGCGCCCCCTACAGACCACAAAGTATAAGAAGCTCCTTGGGAAGTGCCTGCGGCCTCTGCAAACCACAAGGAGATCTAGGGGGTTATTTTTATCTCTACTCCTCACGTTTTTCACTTCCTGAGTGACAGGTACGTGGGGCCAAGGAAGCCAGTTATTCTCTTCTATAAACATACTCAAACGGGGTCCTCTAACCAGGAACTCTCTTCTGGGACTCAACAGTCTCACCCAAGCCAGTGTGATGGTGCCCACTGTACTTCCAGCACTTGGGAGGCTGAGGCAAGAGATTCGTACATTTGAGGTCACCCTGAACTACACAAGTCTTGTCTCAGAAAAGCAGAAACCACCCTCCTCAAAGAAAAGCCTCAGAAGGTAGTAGCAACAAAAGCTCCTTAGCCAAGGAGAATGGCCACTGCCACCACACAAGATAGCAAAACCCAACACCAATTCACTCGGGCAACCTACTCCAGCTTGCTTCACTGACTCACCACCCTCAGCCATGCAAGCGCATGCACGCACACAGAGCACCTGGCCCAGGCCCGCTCCCGCCCCCATCTCTCCCGTTCCTGCTCTTCAGTCTTATCACCTAACATTTCCTTCACTTTGTCTTCCTCACCACTGCTGCTGGTACCTAGAGTGAGCCGCCTCGAACCAGCCAACAGCACCTAGTGGACATTACATACCCTGCGGGCAGGACTTAGGACTGCAGATCTGTATTCCTCCAGTGGTTTTACTTTGAAGGCCAGGGAAGGGGCAATATTTAAAGGAACCAGAAATACACACCTAATATTTGAGATGAATACCTAATGTTGACCCATTTGACTGTGAACACAGGAACTAGACTGATAGTGTTATGAGTACAGCTGATTTCTTCTATTTTGCAAATGTTCTGTAACATGACTACATAACTGATAAAACTTGTAAGTGTGGAAATTTTGAAATGCACCAAGTATAGTCTGATGTATTATGAAAATTATCATGTGTGCTGTTAAGTATTACTGTTAAAAACTGTTTTTAAAAATGTGTCTTTTAAATTTCTTTCCCCTCCACCAATTCTAGGGAAGATAATTCCTTAGTCTTACAAGTTCCTGATTCTGCCCACTGAAGTTACCCCCTCATGTTTACAGGACTGACAGTGTTATGAAATGGCACGAATCTTAACATTTATCGAGCACCTACTATAAGGGGTCAAATACTGAGTTAGGCACTCTTGACACTCTTCATCTTGTTTGCTCCTGCTCCTACCATCTTTGGAGACTGGCACTGTCAGACACTATGGCTGAGAGGAAGTTGTGACTTGCCCAGGGTCACACAGCTAATGGTGTTCCTTTTCTTTTTTTCTTTCTTTTTTTTTTTGGTACCAGAAATCAAACTCAGGACCTTGTGCTTGCCAGGCAGGCGTTTGTGCTGCTGAGCTATATCCCCAGCCTGGACACATGGCTAATAATCAGTACAGAGTAAAATCGTTCTATCAAGCAGTCCTCCCTGGGCTGGGGGCTCTTCACTAGTAAGAACCAGTAGAGACCAGTCTCGACTCAGGGCCGTGTGTCTCTCCATCACCAAAGATCCTCAGAACCTAGGCAAGTTTAAAAGGAGGAGGATGGTAGCTGCCAATTTTTCACTAGGCCCATCAGCAGCTCCTCTGATACTTATTTCCACCGCAGGGTAGGGAACACTGTGTTTCCCAAAAAACCCACAGACTGAACCACCCAAAGGGCCTTCTCTACTCTCAACCATGCTGGAATAACATTCCTTTGATATAATTTCAAAGATCAATACTGAGATTGAAGGACTTGCCAGGCACAGGGGCACAGGCCTGTAATCCCAACCTCTGGGGAGACAGGCAGGAGGATCACAAGTTCAAGGCCAGCCTGGGCAACTTAGTAAGAGCCTGTCTCAAAATGAAGTCAAATTGTAAAAGGGAGTGAGGATGTAGTTTAGTGGTAGAGTGCTTGCCTTGTATACATGAGACGCTGGGTTTAATTCCCATTAAAAAATAAAAAAGCCTGAAGTTTCACGTATTTCTCCCCTTACCACCAAAAACTCTCAAACCACAAAGGTGGAAAATTACCAGCATTCTATTGTCTGCCTATTACTTACATAGTTAATCTCATCAATAAATATTTCCAGAGACCTACTGTGTTCCACAAACTGTTTTATAAGCTGAATACTGTCTCTGTCTACAGTATCCCCACACGGAAGTCTAGACACATATGCAAATACACTCCTGGGCATATTCAGGCTGTGTTTTCTTTATAGTGAAATTTTGCAATTAAACAACTTTTGTCTTTAACATGTGCTACCAAGTATTTGAGAAAACTATCAAGAAAAACCATAAACTAAAGGCAAGAGGTGGGGGAAACACCACATTTTTATCTGTCTCTGGCCCACAATAAATGGGAAACATTGTTTCTTCCTTTAGGATTCACTGTTTCTAGGGAAACTGCACTTCCCTTTTCTGAAAGATACCGAGTGACTTGAGTCCTGAGCAGCATCTGTCTGGGGACAGCTGTGACATAGGGGTTCTAACCAAGGCCCTACAGAGCCCCTGTCCCCAGCTGACGAGGCCCAGGTGCGACGCTCTCCCCTGCCAGGCCAGCAGCCTCCCCCGGCCAGCTGCGCATGGATTTACATTGTTCATCCCAAGGGAACCTGGAGAATCAGGGTGTAGAGCAGCAGGACTCATGCTGGCTACTAGGAAAAAGGCTTCCAGAACAAGGGCAGCTTCCTTCTACTCTTGAGAGGTTCAGCCAAAAGAGCACCATGACCCTAGTGACTGAATGCCAGTGGTGGGATCTAGCTTCAAGGCCAATTGGCAGATGCAGACAGACGGCTTGCAGACCCAGTCTCCTAGTAACTGCTGTGCGGCCTTGGGCAGGTAACTTTGCTTCTCTGAATTCACTCTCCTGCTCTGGAATATAATAATAATAAATTCGACCTCACAGAAAAGCTGCACAAATTAGAAATCAAGTGTAGAAAGAACCTACTATAGTTTGGCTTACAGCTGTTGCTAGTAACTGGTAACTTACTGATAAAATTAAGTCACAGGGCTCCGGAAACAATTCACTGCTACACAACAACCACGGTGCCTAGCCCAAACCAGGAGGTGGCCCAAGCAAACCTGCTGACAGATCTCACCCTGTGCCACGGAGAAGTTCCTGTAATAATTAATCCAACAAAAACCACACTCCCTAAAAGTTCAGAGAATATAAAAGGAACACTTCCTGCTTTATAGCTACAAAGACCAAACTAACTGGGAATATCAGTCCCCCGGGCCACCCCTGCTTCTTAAATGAGATTACAATAAGAGTGATGTACTGTACTCCAAGTCAGCTGTGACAAGCAGCACTTTATAGAGCTATCTGTTTGTCTCCATCACTGCATCGCACAATGTGTCCCTGGACTCCAATGTGCAGCTCCATTTACCGCCACATGACAAATGGGCAGCACTTGTAAAAGGCACAAAGAGGTCCGCGTCGGCCACGTAATGGTCACCACAGCTGTACCCGAGTGCTTGAGGGGACAAAACAGACCCCCAAGTTCATTAAACTGACCAGTAATGGATCTTTCAAAAAGTGCCTTAGGAATCGTACAGAAAAGGCTAAAATAAATAACTCAGCATGGAAGGCTAATCTGAAATGGTGTTTGATAAATTATTTATACCACAGGCGATTGTCTGCATTTAATATTGGAGCTACTAGTAGCATCTTTAAAAGATGATTTATGTGTTGTAATGCTATTAAACT